TCCAGAGCGCAAAGGACCGTCAGCCATCCCGACCAGATCCGTCATCGCTCGGCCCCTCGCAGGCGATGCAATTGCAATTTTGCAACCACATCCTTCGGATGCGTCCACTTCCGGCATTGACTGGAATTTCAATTTTAATTGCTCGGAGAGAAGTACGGTAAAAGGAAGAAAATAACAGGCCCACATATTAAAAAAAAAAAATTGTTTTCTTTCATTAAAACGCACCGTCAAAAGGAAAGGGAAGAAAGCTTAGAAAAGTGATAACATAATAAACATTAAGTTTGATGAAACAATTTAGATTTTTGATAAAGAATTATATCGTTCAACTTCCAAAAACCCTTGATAAAAGCATAAATTCTTGTTGTGATCTATTATGAAATAAGCTTCATATTATATTATTGCAAAACACAAGAAAATTACTCATTGAAAGCTAATAAGATCACAACATCATCTCCTATGGTGACTGTACAAACTGCCTGACAATGAAAGCAGCTGAATTCAAATACTAGCATAAATTCAAAAAGTTTTCATTACTCATTGGAAAAGAGAAAGCAGAACAACTAAAAATGAAACAGGGAAATAACTCTTTTGTGTTCTTAAATTACGTTTTTTTTTTTTTTTTGAAATCATGTAACCAATAATTACTCAAAACTTTAGACCATTTGAAGCACTTCTATAGAATCCATCTGCAAGCAACAGGCTCTAATTATGTAAGGAATCACCTCGAGTTCCACCAAAGGAGGAGGTTTATGTCAATGACTTCTACAACAACACAAAATATTAATTAAAAGCACTAAACTAGCAATAGTAATATAACAAAAGAACTCAATGAGTAAACTAGTGGGCTCTATTTTCATACAAAAAACTCCCGATCAATAAATCCAGTAGGTGACAGATTTTCATATTATACTTAAAGAAAATTGATTTCAATCTACATACTTCTTTCTCCAATCTAAATACATCGTAAAGATCATGCATATATACCTCAAGAATTTGTTTCCGAGGGGATAGTCATTCTTTGTTGGTTCAAAGTAAGAGGAACTTCACCCTGACAACCTCTGTTGATTAACATCTCTGAGAACAAGTAGCTTGTGTCAATTAATTATATCCTTGAAAGAGTAAGTGAAATCCATTATTTAATTAAGATAGCTCCATAGTCTAAAAATATTCAAAATGACTCATACTGAACAAACCTTCTGCAGTAGCATCAACTAGTGCCCAAGTGTCTAAGAGCAGCAATATACAGCCAAGTGAACTAGTTATGGTAGACAATGTACCAATCTGTGACAAGGTGATTTTTCCCCATTTCTGCAGTGATCCACCAAAAACTTCAAAGGAGAAACTGTGATGAAATCAATAAAACATTTAAAAGGCTTTTAAAAAGAACAAATAAGAATTAAGACAACTAAAAGAAGAGTGCTAATCCCATAAAGGCTAAATGGCAAATTAAAATTTAAAAAGCAATAGCATCCAGGATGAATGGACAGCAACACACAGTATCACAATCAACTTGGGCGCCTTAATATAACAGAAACACAAAAGACCAGCATTAACTACTTTTGCAATTTCCATTACACTTTAATTAACTGAATCTCGTAACAATAAGGAATCTCTATTTGTTAATCTAGGCCTAGAGTAATACACAGTTTTGGTGAGTGCACAGAGCAAAATGAGAAAGAAAAGGCAAGGAACTAGGTCTGGGACGTAATACAACGCAGAAAAAAAAAAAAAAAAAGAAATGCCACAAATAGAACTTAAAGTAAATTGAGGTTGCTAAACAAATTCAAGTGCTTGACCTTATTAAAACAGACAATTAGATAAATAAAACTTACAATAAATTCTGGTTGTTACACAGTTTTCTTAATGGAACAGCTTACATTCTTGATAAATGAATTGCCTTCCCTTGAGAAATAATGAAACACAAAAAGATAAATATGCATCAAACACAACTTTCTTTATTTTAGCTTCTCACCAGACACAAGAAATAATTCACAAGACAACCCAATATCAATGACAATAACAGGTAAAGGCTTTTTTCAAGTTTCAGCAATAACTCCTAGCCTTTCACTGCAAGATAAGTACCCGAATATCAGAGCTGTCAAAACAAGCAAATACTTCAGCCATGACAACAGAAACCTTTCCTGAGGATGTAATCTTGGGTCATCTCTCTCTTAGCTCCACAGATTCTCAATTTTAGGATCCTTGCAGGATATACCATTTGCAAGAAAAATATCCATTGACGAGTTCACAAAAAGAACAACAAATATAACTCTAATTTATCTCGACAAAATAAGATCAAATTGAATGATCTCTACTCTATTTGGCATGACCTGCACTAACTAGCCATGAATACAAAGCATAAACCTCAGAATTTAAATAAAAGTTTACAAATGAGACCTGAGATTTACATATGTTGTTTTTAAGAGATGGAAACATCTTATCTCAACCTTGGCATATGCAGCATGGAAATATCTAAAATTTTTAAGTAGTAAAGACGAAACACATTAATTTATTCCACGCAGAGAAAATTACAACTTTGCCTCTAAAGACAAAAATTAATATCTCCAGACAGAAGGAAAACACCAAGGAAAATTACCTGCCTATGAACCAGATCGCCAGCCAAAGAATATGACTTGTATTTGGCGATGGCTAGAGTGTGGGCCTCCGGAGAGCAAAGGAGGTTGGGATTGTCCCTCACCCAGCCTTCTTAAGCAATAATCCTCCCTAAAATCGCTCAGTTGTCAACCAAGATTCGTCAGATGCGTTTCTACTTCCACACCGATCGGAGAAATATGATGAAAAGAGATGTTTGGGGGTTTAAAAATTAAAGAAATTTTTACATTTTACTTTAGTAAAACGCACCGTTCAAAGACAATCAAAACAAAGGAAGAGAGAAGAAAATGCGACGAAATTACATCAAAAGAAACAAATTACATTAAGAAAAATACATGAGCAACTGCATGCAGGGTATATAAATGAAATCCAAAAGAAATTAACACAAATTCATACATAACCATAATTCCCACACAAGTCAACACAACTATATATCAACAATGAACATGAAAAAGATGAAAACAAACTCAAGAAGCAAGTGTTGCCATATCTTCCGGAAGTAGGAAATCAACTGCACCTACTTGCACCTATGTAAAATAGAGCAAAAGTAGAAAAATTAAGTTTAACTATTATATAATATACCTTGATTTTTATAGTTAGAACTTAGATAGAACACAAATATTATAGAGATAGTTGTAGAAACTTACTCACCTAAGAGCGTTGGTTGGGTTTTTGGGTTTTTCTCTTATGCTTTTGGTTGCACCTTCCAATCAATTTCTGTTGGTATTTCTCCACTTTCTTCACCACCCACCATGGCTTTCCTGTAGTGAAGGCAATGTATCCCAGACTAAGTCCCAACACCAATCCACACCCATAGCCTGCCAATGCAAACTTCCACTCAAAGAGTGTTGTAGAGTCATCATCTTCATCAAATTGTGATGGAGGTGCTCCTGGTCCTTCCTCGTTGTGGCATTTCTTTGTTAGTGGGAATCCACACAACCCAGAGTTTCCAATGTAGGAATCATTTGAGAAGGTACTGAACTGCTTCCCTTCAGGTATGTGGCCCACAAGTTCATTGTGTGAAAGATTCAAAACTGATAGGAATGTCAGATTTGTCAATTGCTCAGGAATCCTGCCTTCAAGTTTGTTTGATGAGAGATCAAATGACTCGAGTTCTGCTAATTTCCCCAACGATGATGGAATTTGACCTGTGAGACTATTGTGAGACAAGTTTAGCACTATTAGTGAATTGAGTTCTCCCAGCTCTTCAGGAATTCCCCCATGGAATCGATTGCTTGAGAAATCATGGTTGTGAAAATTGTCAAGATCCTTTCAAGCTTCACCTCGAACCCTTTCATTACTACCTTCACAGAAAAGTTATAAGTAAGAGGAGAAAATGAGGCATCACGACTGAGACTCCCAAAGGAAATGAAGCTTTGACTTAGTTTACGTCCCCTAATAAATCCTTGCTCCTCACCACCAATGTATTCCAATTCATTAGCTGGAGCTACATCTCTCATACCTTTCAAAATTTTGAAATAGTTATTCGGTAGGAGACCCATAAAATCATTCTGCGCAACATCAATGATTCTCAACTGAGGGAAGTAAAATGCAAGCATAGAATTGTTGATGGCACCATGAAATCGATTAGATCGAAGGATGAGAACTTTTAGCAATGGAAGAACACCTAACCAATGTGGAAAGGTGTCATTCAAGTTATTGTTCCCCACATCTAGAATTTCCAACTTACTGCAATTAACCAAAGACTCTGGCAGTATCCCTTCCAACTGGTTGTCATTTAGGTTAAGAGTTCTCAGTTCACTCCCGTTGACAAAAGAATTTGGTATTGTACCATGAAACTTATTCATCTGCAAATCCAAGACGAAGAGATCACTTAAGTTTCCAAGACATTTTGGAATTTTTCCTCCCAAACTATTATTAGCTAAATCCAGAACTGAAAGAGAAGTCAAATTGCAATAAGAAGAAGGGATTTGGCCAGTCAAATTATTCTCTGAAATGAAGAGTTGTTTTATCGAATCCCTAGTTGACAGAATGGGAAGTGATCCTTGTAGTAAGTTGGATCTAAGGTCAACGGTTTCAAGATTTCCAAAACCAAATGAATCTATACCAGTCAATAAGTTATAAGAAAGGTCTAAGGTATTCAATGACATCCCTTCTATTTCCCATTTGTGAATTTGACCAAAAATCTTGTTCTTGGAAATATCCAATTCTCGCAAACTCTCTGCCTTCCTCAAGAAACTTGGGAAATTGTATATGTTGCAAGAGGAGAATTTTAAAGACCTGAGGTTCGGAAAGGAATAGTTGACAGCAGTGTTATTCTTGCTCAAAGACAGCAAACTATTATTGGAAAGATCCAGATTCCGAAGGTTTACAAGTTTTGAAAGCATGTTGGCTGCAATGGTGCCACCTAAATTATTTGAAGAAAGGTCGACTATAGTAAGATTGACAAGATGAAAGAAAGAGCTAGGAATTGAACCATTTATATCATTATTGGACAAATAGACTTCTTGTAAAATGGGATTAGGCATCTCAATATGATCAATAGGTCCGGTAAGTCTATTGTTTTGGAGGTCTAAATTGGATAAAGAAGGTAGAGAAAACAACCAAGATGGTACATGACCTGTGGTGAAATTATTATCCATTTGAAACTCTTGTAAAAATGAGAGTCCACTTATATTGCGAGGAAGAGGCCCTCTTAGCTTATTTGATGACAATCTCAAATAAGTAAGATTAGCGAGGTTGAAGATTGATGTAGGAATTTCACCCTCAAAACTATTATTAAAAAGGCTCAAATGAGTTAGCTTTTGCATTTTTCCAAAAACATCTGGAATTGATCCATAAAATTGGCAACCATCAAGATTCAAATACTTGAGGGTACTACTCAGGCTTGACTCAGGCAAATTACCTCCTAAATGAGAGTTGTCGCTTAAATCAAGAAGCTGGAGAGATGGAAGCTGAAAAACTTGGCTTGGAAAGTTTCCTTGCAAATTACAAGAGCCAAGGCTCAAATGCTCCAAGGAAGAAGTCAAGTTTAGCAAGGAAGAAGGCACAACCAGAGACATATTCACAGAATCAAGGATAAGAAACCTTAATTCTGTTAAGTTATG